TCCCAAATGCCACAGGCCAAAGATAGAGGTAGAGGGGAAGAATAGCGGTAAGAAGGTAAGAGGGAGGTCTTGTTTAGCCTGCTTAGTGCTAGTGTGATTCCTTTAGTGCCAGGAGAACCTGAAAAATGCCATGAGGATGGCGTGTCACAATGACAATGGGGTGAAGAGATTAGGACAGGCAAGAAGTGAGTCCTGCCATTCGCACTGCCGTGCTCATTATCGCCTGACGTGATGCCGGACGGACACAGTGCCGTCCATCCACCCCTCTGAGGAGGGCTTAGTGCCTCAAGGAACCAATCTGGCTTCTATCACCACCTCTGTCCAGAAACAGAGAAGGGAGAATGAGATGATCCAGGCAACAGAAAAGAGATTCACGTAAGCAGAAACTAAATGATCTTTTCTGCACTTGCCAAATGGATGCTATATTGTCAGAGCATTATGTTACCAGGCATGATGTTTGCAGCCAGACTAGGCTAGTGAAAAATGGAAGTATAGGCGTGATTACTGCCCAAGCAAATTCTTCAGGGCTCAGGGAGCGGGAAATTAAAGTCTCCCCCTCCCACTTGGTGCCCAACCACGAGGTCATAGCACTAGGACTCTAGTGAAATGTTGTCCCGTCATCTAGTGCAAATGCAGCAAAGGAAATGTCATGAGCATCTTCCCTTGGTAGATGTTTTTGTTTTATGATTTAACACTTTCTGGGGCCCAGGGTCCTTATCTAGGAAATGGCAGTGTTCAGTGCCACATGTACGGTTGTTATGAATGTTATATAAGGTAGTATTTATGTAAATCACTTAGCAGAGTGCCTAGCACCTAGGAGAGGTTCGAAAAATAATAGTTTTGATTAGGTTATTCATAGTTATAGAATATCATCAGGGGCCCATAGTTTGCATAAAACACTGTCCTTACCCACAGGACCCATATCTACTCCTTGAAACATAGTTGGGGGCATCCGCACCACTGATTCTTGGACCATAACTTGATGCTTTACAGTTAATTCCTTTTGGAGACAAGTCTGTTTGGGAAAATGAAAAGGCTAGGGAACAAATGAGGGTTAGAGACAAGGGAGACTTCTGGGCAAGTACATTTTCCCTTATTTCAATAGGACTAAAAAGTAGTGTTCTTTGGAGGTCTAGAATTTCTGATATAATGGAAGCCTTAAGTTCTAGCTCCATTTCAATAACCAGCTCATCACTCGCTCTTCAAAAAGTATTAAAAGTCTTGGCCATGCCAGAGTGAACGAGTTTTACAACCTGACTTTTGTGCTTATTAGTTCATGGGATTTCTTTATGCTGCTGCCACAGAAATTTATTGTGAACCTACTAAGTACCAGGTACTGAGCCATGTGATTCCAGGTTCATTCCACGAACACACACGAGTTTGTGGAATCGTTTATTTTCCACATCAGCCCTGTGAGATCAGTTATCATCCCCACATTACAGATGAGAAGGCTGGGGACCTGCAATGTTTAACATTTTGCCCAGATAACACAGCCAGTTAATAGCCAAGCTTGATTTTGAACCCCTTACTTCACAGATTTTTAACACTTTGGACAGTTTCTGTTACACGTAATTTTATTAGATAGTCAAGGCAACCAAGTCACAAAAGTACGCCTCAGAAGCTCATGATTCAAATGGTAGTTGGGGGTTAAGTAAAATGCAGTTACCTCACACATCTTAATCTAGGTAGAAAGGGAAGTTTTTTTTTTAAAGTAAAATTCTACATTATAGAATATTTCGTGTTGATAAATGAGAACCTAACTCCAGCAAATGTAGATCTTGGCTGGGCAGAATTGCACTGTACTCTCGATAGTCTAAAAACACATTTGAGTTGTTTCCTAGCAAGCTTTTGTGTCAGCCGTGGTTGGAGGCCAGATGCAAGGCTGATGAGCCTTGGCTTTCTTTGGGATGTACTTGAATGGGGTAGTCAGCTGAACATGACCATTTTCACCACTTATAAATTGATTTTGCTGCCAAGCTTGGGTATGAAGATTGTACAGAGAAAAGACATCAGGCTAAATCTAGGCCAGAAGTACAAGACTTCCCCCTTGGTAGATTGTGCCATTTATTTGGATAATTTTCTCATTTTAACCTAGATTATACCTAGATTATTTTCTGTGTGTATATATATGTGTGTATATATGTATATATGTGTGCATATATATATATTAGGTACCAAGCAGATATTATGCCTTTCTGCTTTGTACTGTACTACTGCTGCTAGCTAATACCCAGCAAAATGTAGAAAATGAAAAATGTTAAACTAATTTTCTGTAGACAACTTGGAGAAAAGGGCACCTGCCCCTCACTTAATGGGGCTGAGAGACTTGACTATTTTGAGAATTTGCCTTTTCTGAAGGCTGACTGCATCTAGCCCCATGGCATTTCTAGCTCTGCCTGCGGGGCTGGCCTGGGCTCAGATAATCCCCTGTGACTGGCCGTCAGAGCCGTGGAGCTCCTGAGGCTGGTTCACAGCACCCAGAGGTCTCTTACTGTCAAACAGATTGCATGCTGTGGATAGACCAGAATCCATCAGGGACTGTGCTCCCCCTGCCAACTCCATTTCCAGGTTGGGAGCTTCATTCAAGGACTCAGAACTTGAGTTCCCAACATGTTGACTTTGCATCCGTTTCTGTTTATCGAGGCAAAATCGTAGCAGAGGCATATAATAAGGATGCAAATGGAAGGCAGCCCAGATAATGGAAAAGGACAGATTTTTCAGCCCATCTGGGGCTTGAGGAGTGAGGTTTTGATTTAAGATTGAAAGCAGTTCTGCAAAGCAGGCCAGCTGCATGGGCTACAGTGTGTGCCCCTTCCTGAGTGCAGAGGGAGACAAGGAAAAGGAGTCACGTACAATGTACGCATTCAGTTCCTCTTAGAACGATAGCGCCCACTGTTCAACTGTTTAATAATCCCGGTGATGCACATCCCGAGGTGAAATGAAGTGGTTATTTTTCAATGCGCTAAGTTAACCTTGAGAGAGAAGTGCCTGTAATCTCCGTTCCTGGTGTCCTTTTAAAGCTTTCGCTTCACGACTCTGTAGCCGTTTAAAAATTTGTCGCAGCAAATGTGATTAACAGAAGTTTACAAAGCAACTCGTTAGCTTGTGCGTCATGTTAAAAATCGCCTAATGTTTCTCTATTGTCAAAGCAACAACAATAAACAGCAAAATAAAAGGAGCGCAAATAGGCCAATATGGCATCATAGGCTTATCTTAGATACACTAGCTCCATCTTTTCAGGCCGTCCTCAGTCTTGCCAGGATTAAAATCTCAAGCAGGCCGTGCAAACAGTGGCAAATGCGTGGGTGTGCTTGTTAGCCCGCTTGTTTGTTCAGCAGCCGTTTTACTTTCCCACTGTAACAAACTGGAAGGGGAATTAAGATAATGCTTCCTCCCCGCCCCCATGTTGTTATTCAACTACCTCTATATGCTTGGTTTCTCTTTATGGGTTTCTTTCTTCCAAATCTGTACAAAATGCTGTTTCAACTCTTCTATGTTGTAATAACAA